ACCACATTAGCTATTCTCCAGTCCAACGGTACCACCCCCGAGTTTACAGATTCATTAAAAATTATCGCCAAGGGGCTCGCAATCTCGCGCCAGTTCCTTCAATATTCTAGGGTGAAGATCATCCGGTCCGCCCGATTTAGTCCCGTTTAGCTGGTCAAGTTTGGCTTCCACCTCTGATACTGTAATGTCAATCCCCCCTCCTGTATTCCCCTCTGTCCTACTCCCTCTATTCCTAAACCCTTCATTAGCCTTATTAAAGACCGATGCAAAATATTCATTTAGATATTGTGCCATGCCTAGATTATTCTTAATTTCCACTCCATCTACATTCTTCAGCGGTCCCACTTCCTCTTTCTTTGTTTTCTTCCTATTTATATGGCTATAAAACCTCTTACTATTGGATTTAATTCCCCTCGCGAGGTCCAACTCTACATGGCTTTTGGCCTTTCTCAGCGCATCCCTACATGCTCTAACCTCAATAAGGTAGGTTTCCTTGCTGATTCCTCCCTTTTTCCATTTTCTGTATGCTTTATGTTTTTTCTTAATCGCCCCTTTGAAACACCCGCTCATCCAGCTAGGTCTAAATCTCCTGCCCACTAACTGTCTTCCCTTTCTTGGGATACAGGCCTCGGATAGCTCGTGCAACTTCAACTTGAAATAATCCCAGGCGTCATCTGCCTTTAGATCCCTAAGTATGTTAGCCCAATCCACTTCCCTAAGTAGTTGCCTTAATTTATTAAAGTTGGCCTTTTTGAAATTGTAAACCTTAGTCACAGTATTATTTCTGTTAATCCTTCCATTTAGTTTAAACCGAATTAGCTCATGGTCACTCGAGCCAAGGTTGTCCCCTACAACCATTTCCTCAACGAGGTCCTCACTACTCACCAGCACTAAATCTAAAATGGCATCCCCCCTCGTCGGTTCAGTTACTACTTGATGAAGGAATTCATCTGCTAGCATGTCTAGGAACATCTGAGCCCTATTATTGTTACTAGCATTTGTTCCCCAATCTCTATCTGGGAAGTTAAAGTCCCCCATGATGACACAGTTCTTATCAGTTTTTACTTCTCTAAAAACTTTAAGTAGTTCTCTGTCCGCATCCAGGCTAGATCCCGGCGGTCTATAGCACACCCCAAGCACTATCTCGGGGGAGGCTCTAGTAGTTCTTTTACGCAGTGTAATTATTGCCCATACAGACTCCGTCTTATCCATTCCATCACTTATTATTTCTTTACATTTTAGCTCATTATTGACATATAACGCCACTCCCCCACCTTTACCTTTTTTCCGGTCATTCCTAAACAGCACATACCCTTCCATACCTGTACTCCAGTCATGACTACCGTTCCACCACCTTTGGGTTATTCCCACGATATCAGGTTTCATTTCTCGGAATGACAGCTTGAACCAGTGCAGAACTAAGCCCCCATCCTGGAGGGGCAGGATCAATGCTGTTGTGCACCACCCTGGCTGCCTCCTCAGTGCTTTCTCTATTGTTTAATATCCCCCCTAAGAGCTGTGGTGCTCCCCCACAGATGGGGGACTGGCCAGGTGCTTTGCAGTGACTTGTCCCTCTCTGTCCACAGGCAGCCAGCTTTCCCCCCCTTCCCCCAATCATGCAGCAGGCTAGTTGGCGCTTCACCACCGAGCAGTGCCACAGGTACTGGTAGCAGGAAGTGTATTTCAATAGTGGTTATTCAGGGGCCTTCAGCCAGCTGAGACGACAAGCACTAAATACAACAATGAATTTATTTACCCACATTCTAGCACTTTACTGACAAGGTAAGAGCTATTCAGAAACTTGAGTGGCTTTAGGATTAACATTTCCAGGTAGGCCAAGGGATGCAGGCTATAGGAGAGGCCTTATCTTCCATTACATCAAACCAAATTATCCTGTCACCATAAGATTACGGTCCAGAAGAATTTGTAAAGGTGTGAAACTTAAGCTTATGAAGCAGACACTCTAAGAGGGTAAGTATCTTTTAGTTGCAAATTCCACTTAAGATAGGGGGGAAATGACCCCACAACAAACCTCTTACAAGGGTTTGGACAGGCACTGGCCCTGCATAGGGAATATTTGCATCAAGGGGTCCATAGAGGTGCTCTAGGCAACACTAGAGTAACAAAAATGAAAGGAGAGCAGTGTTACACAGTTAGTGAAGACTGGATATTCTCACCCCTTTTGTTGTTCAGGTTTTTCCAGTCTACAAATTCATACCTGCCTTTGCCAGCTGTCCCCTGCATTACATATAGTTAAGTATGTCCTTAGCTTTGATACCAATCCAATGTGTCCAGGGCAATGCAGTACAGCTCAAGTAGCCAGCCCTTTCAGGCAGTCATGCCAGGACCATCTTCGCACAGCTCCACTCACACGGAGGTGCAGCACACTCAACGGTGGGAGAACTGCTTGCTGAAACTGTGTACTACCATTCAGGGCAATTCACCATTCAGTAAGTTATTTTCTAGCAGTAGTTACATGTCATCGTGAGTGGGTATGCACTAGAGGGAAATGTGTGAACTGGTCCTGATCTAATTTTAGGCCTATTGTAGCATGTTCATTCTAACATCAGCAAGTACGTGTGCATGGGGGAGGGGAATAGGGAGATTGACATTTAGAACAGTCAGGCTAAGCTGACCCAGTACACACCAGTCCATGAGGCCAGCCTTCTTCAACCAGGTCTTGGCTTAAGGGCTGACAGGGTACAGGTCACTCCAGTAGCTGTTCCAAGTCCATTTCCACTAAGCAAAGAGCCACCAGGGTCTGCTGTGACCACTTAAGCCAGGTTTCACTGGGGTCATGCTTTGCTCCCACTGAAATCAGCAGCAAAGTTTGTTACTTCAATGGGAACGTGCTCAGGCCCTGTATAAAGCAAGACACATTTAGGCAATCGAGACATTGGATTAATTCCAGTCCAAGAAAAAACCTGGACCCCCCATATTACTAAGCTTTATTTTATAACAATATTAAGTCCTTTCTTCTTTGTCAATTAAACTTACCATTTTCACTTAGTCCTGCCTCAGTGGGGGGCTGGACTAAATGACCTCAAGGTCCCTTCCAGCCCTACATTTCTATGAGTTTGTCAGCTATGCTAAGAGTAGTTCACCAATATTTTTCATGCTGTAGCTCGGGCCTAAGTGACCCTTTCTCCATACTGCTCTGGTCTTTCCTGAGAGCATGCTTGGGGCAGGATGGATTTTCCCCACCCCAACATTAATGCTAAAGCCTAGCATTTAGGGGGCAGGGTCTAGATCTTTTATACAACCCCTTGAACACTGGGTGTTGCCGCTCTGAAGGACAGACAGAACCTCAGCACCCCTTCAAAGAGCTGGCATTCAGAGCTTTTAACATATGCAACAAAGTGGTCTGGTTGACAGGGAAGTAACAATACAGGGATATTTTTATTTCACATTTTATTAGTAGACAGATGTGCAGAAAAGACAAAATAAACTATTGAAGGGGAAGACAACACAAAATGCATCAGTTAATCCTTTCTGGTAAATTATATTGAAGGGGGGAAAAAATAAAAGGAAACATCCAGGATTTTCAGCTAAGAAAACTACTAAGAAAATCTAGTGCACCCTGCTGGTCTCAGAATGGTTGAAAACTGCACTTGAATTATAAATGTAAACGTCAACATTGGTTGGGACGGGAGACGGGGGTAAGAAAAGAATACACAGGTCAGGTAAACATTTTTCCTCATAATCTCTTAAATAGTTTCATAGTCATACTTCGGTTGTTTGTATCTTGAAAAGGAAACCAGCAAGTCAACAAGCAATGACACTGCAGGGGACGGAGGGGGAGAGAAGTTAATCTGGCTAATGTAGGAGCTCTTGGAACAGGTTTTTTTAAAAATAAAATAAAGGGCAACAGAAGAATCATGATAACGCATCTTACAACACCAAGCTTGGGAATACAAATCACTGGAGAGTATACAGTGAAGACGGTCAAAGTACAAGGGAAAGATCCTGAAAGATGCAGTATCCTCATTTCAAACCAAGTCATCAGCACAAATGGTGTTGCATCGATTGGGTTGTTTGCTTCCCTATCTTAAGTCACACCCATCCCCTTCACCACCACCCCCCCCCCCCAAAAAAAAAAAAAAGAAAGTGAGGTTAGTTTCCCTAGAAAGCACCGACTGCCTCAGAGGGAATAGCTATTCTCCTAAGAACTATTCCCATGAATGAGTTCAAGGGATATGCGCTTGGTTCTTGCAATCTAATTGCACTGTATACATTCCTATTGGTTTTTAAGAAGCTAGTACACCGCAGGTGCTCGATCTGGAAGTATACGTTTCTGGCTGAAACGGTTTGCGTTAGTGGTAACTGCACTACACGCCTCATGCAGGAGCCCCATTTGCTCACTCCAAAAGTGCTGCAGGGAAAAGGTCCCTCATTCCTGGAGAGGATGGTGGGCAAAGCCTCATGTGACTCAGCAGTAACAATCTGACTGCTTAAGGAGAGGTACTGACTAGCGCCCAAGGGAATGCCATGCAGGCAGGCAGACTGAGGATCTTGTATCCGGTGTGAGGACATGGGTAGAGGGATGCAAGTTTATGTAGGAGGCTGCCTTTAATCAATAAGGCAAAACAGGGTGCTTTTTCTGGTCATGCCATGGGGCACAGGGAGGGGGTTTCCCTACCAGCAAGCTGGTGCTGTCTCATATACCATGTCCTGGAATGTCTTGATAGGATCCCACAGTGGAGCCTTCAGAAAGGAACAGCCACGTTTTCCTCTTGTTTCTATCAGCAAAAAAGGCTTTAACCAACATTTTAAAAACCGCTGGAAGTGAACCCTGCGTTTCCAGTCCCTGGCATCATTTTCCTGCTCTTTCCTTGTAGCTGAGGCTGGACTGCTTTCAACTCCAAACAGCTGGCACCTTACTTCAGAATCTTTTTATTTAAAAAAAACAAAACAAAACAAAAAAAAAAATCCGCTCCCAGCTCAGGGGACACATCCGCTCTTCTGCTACCAGGAAGTCACAGCCCTTGCGCTCACAGATCAGCACTCCCAGCTTTCACTTTATTAACAAGTTCGAAGGCTTCCCCAGCCAATCAACTTTGAGGAGGCAGGGTTAGTGAAAGGTGGTGACGTGCCACTGGAAACCGTGAGGACAAGGGGGCAACCAAAATGTCATTAAAGGAGCCTGCAAGGGCTTGACACAACAGTCCTTACTCCCCCCACATAGATAAACCTCCCACTGAAGCCAGAACAGCACCATGAGTCACTCCACACCACTAGAGTAGGTTCTTGAAGCGATGAGAGGCTCAGTATACTTGAAATGCTGTCCTAATCAGTGGGCAAAAAGTAGTCCCAAAGGCCAACTCAGGGTGCCACACCGCAGCCAAATCACAACAGTGCTTTATAATGGATTTGTGATGTCAACCAGGTTAAGCAATCAAATTCGGCTCAAAAAGTTTGAGGCTGGTAGGTCGGATCTTCTGCCAAAAGCTCCCCAGCACATGCAAGAGATTCTGGAGTTGCTGAACTGTCTGAATTTTGCACACCACCCAGTTAACATGCTGAAAGCCTAGCAGCAGTGATTTCTAATCCTGGTTTGCAGAGCTCCCCCTTCAGCCATCTGGGTCCATGCACTTTTTTGACACCTCTTCAGCCATGAACAAGCTGGCATCAGTATTTGAGAGCTATGTGACCACAACAAAGCTTTGTCACTGGGATCCCCTTTCCCTCTCCAGTAATGAGGACAGTCTTGGTTTGACGGTCAATTCAGAAAGTCTGTCCACTGATAAGCATGGGGAAGGCCAGACTGGTATTTCTAGTTCTTGTGAGTGCATTGTTGCGCAAGGGAATTTTGGATTCTGCCTCAAGGCCCACAATCTACAGCAGCAAGTCTTGGTGGGCCCCATCATTTGCCAACTCACAACTAGTCTTACCCATTTAAATAAACAAAGGTAGATGCTAAAAGTCAATAGTAGGCATTTGGGATGCAGAGAAGAGCAACTGGCATCTACGACTAACGCACAGACTAGACTCTCCAGAGGTGTAGTAGCTTATTGAAAACGGCAGATTCTAGACACTGAACACATGCTCCTAGGACGAAAACTGGCTGACTGAACCTACCACCACTTTTAAGGTGGCCAACTTTGCATTCTGAAGGAGGAGAGGATTTAAGTTTCACGATTCCCTCCCAACAAGGGGAGCCAGCAGCAGATCTCAGCAGCATTCTAACAAACGGCATAGTGATTTCTAAACCCCAACCAGTCTGAAAAATAAATAGCAACCCAGGGCTCAGTTGTACAGATGTGAAGTGTTAAGTGTTTATTTTCGGGTTCATATCATACACTTGGTAAAAAGGCAGCTGATTCTGCCCTCTGGGCACAAGGCTCCAGGGGCTGTCTACTTCCTAACTAGAACAGGCTGAAAAGGAATACTGTACCTTTCAGTAAAACATTCCATCAAGCTCAACACACAGTAGCTTACACTCTCTGCCCCAAGCCTTGAAAAAAGGAAAAAAACCCACCACCACCACAAAGCTACACGAATGTGCACACGCTATTATTGTAAATGGAGCAGCTAAACCTTGGCAATTTGCTTTTTTGTGTGGTTTTGTTTGTTTTTTCTTCCCAGTAAATGCAGCACTTGTGAACTCCCAAGGACCCAACTTCAATGGGTTCGTTCCAGCTTTAAATACATTAAACATCTCGATGCAAGACTGTGTTTAATTAAGGTATTTAAACACAGACCAAACCTGTTTCACTGTGAACGTTTCGTAGAGAAGCGAGAGGGGGAGTTTCTTTCTTAAAAAAGAAATCATAATACAGTGATGAAAGGGTTAAGAATGCAAGAATTCAGACATTCTGTGAAGGGTCTCTCTCTCTCTAAGAGGTCCATAAAAAAGAGCAAACAGAGATCCGTACAGCAGGAGACAAGAGTTTGTTGTTGATTTCCCCCGTGTATTTTTTGCTGGACTGTTGCTAGGTTACCACTGCTCCCTTTTGGCCTGAGTCGGCAGGGCAGTACAGGGGCATGTAGGGAGCAGGTCACGACTCTTCATTGCCAGAATCATCATCATCGTAACACTCGGCATCTTCCTCCTCCTCGTCTTCATCATCAATGTCGTCATCGTACAAGTCGTCATAAAGCAAATCTGAACTGTTGTCATTGGAAGGCACTTTAGTTTTGATGCAGTACTCTGCCAGCGTAGTGGGGACCTTCACGCCATCCTTTTCCGCCTCAGCCTTGGTAGCCAAAACCTGTTTCCTGCAAGGTAGAGAAGAGAAAGCAGCAATGTGATCACAGGTTCGGCCGTAGCTTTCCCTTCCAAAACACTTGCAGAGCAATCTCCAAGAACCAACATAAACCTCATCCCTGGCACAGAGACAATGAAGCCATTTCAGCACGTGCATTCCATAGGAAGCCAGCAGTTGAGTCAAAAGTAATGCAAGTGAAGCTAACACACAAGTTTGTTTTCCTCCAGTCACTAGTGTGGGGTTGCTACAAATTGTTATCAGTCCCAGTAAACTCTTCCAAAACTCCAGCAACACAAGATAGTGTATTTTAAGGTCCAATATTAGTGACTTGCATAAGCTAGTTACAGGTAGAAAGTTTCATTGCATTAATCAATCAATCCTCCTCTTTCCAAAAAGGGGTCCTTAAAAAAAGAGGGGGGGGGAGAAGAGGGGGACAGACATATCAAGTGGTTTCCTCTGGTGCTACCGTCTTAAAGTTTCTCCAAAAGCATTTAAGTTCCACTAAAAGTTTTATCCAGCTATACTTCGGATGGCATTTTCAGAAGTGCTTAGCACTGCTGTGCTCCCACTGAAGTAAATGCAAACAGAGCTGAGTCAATGCCAAGTGTCTCTGAAACTTCAGTTTAACTAAATGTTGGCTACCTTGAGCTACAGATCCAGTCCTTTCTAGCAACAGTCTTTGGAAGCCATTAGGTGTGTGCGCGCAGCTGATAATTAGGGCTCTGCCTTTCACTGAGGAAAGGGTTGATTGTCTCATTCTTACACCATGACATTTTAACCTAACAGCTGCTGAGAGTTGGATCTATAGGACTGTACATGGGCAGAGGATCTTGCCCCAACACTTACGCAACTATGAGGCTGATTTAATGATTGGAAGTCAGCAATGATCCAGAACTCTCAACATATTCCTAACGTGTGCCCTAAATAAAAAGTGCTGGCTCCATGCGTGTCTAGTCACTACCACCTGGGGAAGGGAAAATCCTCCAGTAGTCAAAAAGGCTCTTGAAAGCTTATTGACAGAGAGGGCCTTACTGCCTTTACAAGGGTTCTTCAGTAACTAGTGACTTGGCAGAACTAGGGACTTCTAAGAGGCACCATTCTAAATGAAAGACAGGCAGGATTTTAAACAGATGCTTCAAGCTCAGAAACCTGCACTGCAGATTGTGTTAAGGAAGGTTACAGTACAGAAACAGCATTTAAAATACAAGAGGGTCAGGAGTGCAACCTCAAGTGAATTCATTAAGCATGGAATTAACAAAATTACATGAGTAATTAACCATTCACCAAGGCACACAGGCAATGCGCAAAGGGAAACAGTGATCCAGATGGGGATTGGTTAGTGGCCAAAGGACTGAGTATTATGCCAGAACAATCTGACAAAGCAAAGCAGTCAGAAGAGGATATGTTGACCTTTTTGTGCCAGCAGTCAGCATCAGTAGCACACTACGGGTGCTCTAGCAGGGGCTCCTGCCACCAAGGCAGAGAAATGGCTTTAAGATTACTTTGGCCCTTAGAAGGTTAAAGTTAACAGCTTCCAGAGATATTCAGGTTAGAAGTGACAACTTATTTATGTTTGCAGTGTTGGTACCAGGATATCAGAGACACAAGGTGGGTGAGGTAATATCTTTTATTGGACCAAACTTGTTGGAGCGAAAGAGAGAGAAGCTTTCAAGCTACACAGAGCTCTACTTCAGGTCTGGGAAAGGTACTCCGTGTCACAGCTAAGTACGTACAAGATGGAACGATTAGTGCAAGAGATATGCTAAACAAACAGAAGTTGGTCCAATCAAATAAAAAATAAAATAAAAACACATTTATGTGAATCTGACGTAGAATCCTAGAAATGCAGGGCTGGAAGGGACCTGAAGAGGTCACCAAATCTCGCCCCCTGTGCTGAGGCAGGACCAAGTACACCTAAGCCACCCGGACAGGTGTTTGTCCAACCTATTCTGAAAAACCTCCAATGATGGGAATTCCACAGCCTCCCTTGGAAGCCTGTTCCAGAGCTCAACCCTTGTAGTTAGGAAGTTTTCCTCTAATATCTAACCTAAATCTCCCTTGCTGCAGATTAAGCCCATTACTTCTTGTCCTCCCTTCAGGTGGACATGCAGAACAGTTGATCATCGTCATCTTTATAACAGCCCTTAACATATTGGAAGACTTATCAGGTTCCCTCCTCAGTCTTCTCTTCTCAAGACTCAACATGCCAAGTTTAACCTTTCCTCACATGTCAGGTTTCGAAAACTTATAATTTTTGTTCTCCTCCTCTGGACACTCTCCAATTTGTCCACATTTTTCCTAAAGTGTGGTGCTCAGAACTGGACACAGTACTCCCATTGAGGCCTCACCAGTGCCAAGCAAGATAATTATGTCCTGTGTCTTACACACAACACTCCTATTAATACAACTCAATCGCTTTTTTTGCAGCTGCATCAAGTTGTTGGTTCATTCAATTTGTGATCCAGGTAACTCCCAGATTCTTTTCAGAAGTACTACTACCTAGAGTCTAGACAGTTAATCCCCATTGTGTAGTTGTGCATTTGATTTCTCCTCCATACGTGTAGTACTTTGCACTTGTCTTCATAGAATTACATCTTGTTGATTTCAGACCAATTCTCTAATGTGTCTGGGTCGTTTTGAATTTTAATCTTCTCCTACAAAGTATCTGCAAGCCCTCCCAAATTTTATAAGGACACTCTCCACTCCATTATACAAGTCATGAATGAAAATATTGGCTAGTACTGGACTCAGGACTGACCCCTGTGGGACAGCACTAGGTACGCCCTCCCACTCTGACAGCAAGCCATTGATAACTACTCCAAGTAGTTTTTCAACCAGTTGTGCACGCAGCTTAAAGTTTAAATTAAACCACATTTCCTATTTTGCTTAGGAGAATGGCACATGACTGTCAAAAGATTTACTAAAATCAATACATATCACATCTACAGCTTCCCCCACAGCCACTAGGCCTGTAACCTTGTCAAAGAAGGCAAGTAGGTTAGTTTGGCATGACTTGTTCTTGACCAGTCCATGCGGGCTATTTCTTAGAATGCTATTATCTGCAAGGTGCTTAGTAATTGATTAATGAATATTTTATACTAATACGTTTCCAGGTATCAAAGTTAGGTGGCTAGTCTAATTCCCTGGATCCTCTTCGTTCCTGCATTTTAAAGATAGGCAAACATGGTACCTTTCTCCAGTCTTCTGGGACCTCCCCCATCTTCCAGAACTCATGGAGGATAATTGCTAACAGTTTTGAGTTTGCTTCAGCCAGTTCCTTAAGTATTTTAGGATGAATTTCATCAGGCCCTGCTGACTTGAATGCATCTAACTTAACCTAAATAGTCTTTAGCCTATTCCATTCCTTCTCTATTTTTGCTTGTGTTCCTTTCCCCTTATTGATAGTGTGTTGAGTATCTGGTCATTATCAATCATTTTAGTGAGACGGACGCAAAATAGGCATTAAACACACCAGCTTCTTGATAGCATCAGTTATTAGCTCTTCTCTTCCCCATTAAGTAGAGTACCTACGGTTTCCTTTATCTTTTTCTTGCTCCTAATGTAGTTAAAGAACCTCTTCTGATTGCCTTTTATGTCCCTTGTTAGGTGTAACTCATTTTGTGCCTTAGCCTTTCTGATTTTGTCACTACATGCTTGTGCTATTTTTTTTTGTAGACATCCTTAGCAATTGATTCATGTTTCTACTTTTTGTAGGATTCCTTTTTGATTTTCAGATTAAAGAGCTCCCGATGGAGCCATAGTGACCTTTTTCTCTTCTTCCGGTCTTTCTTTCGCATTGGAATTGTTTGCAGTTGTACCTTTAATATTGTCTCCTTGAGGAATTGCCAGCTCTCCTGAACCTTTATCCCTTAAATTTTCTTCCGATGGAACCTTACCTACTAGCTCTGAATCTGTTGATGTCTGTTTTTTTGAATTCCACTGTTCCTTTCACTCCTTCCTTTCCTTAGAATCATGAAACTCATCATTTTATGAGCACTTTTACCCAAATTGCCTTCAACCTTCAGATTTGCAAACAATTTCTCCCTGTTGGTCAGAATCAAGTCCAACATGCTAGTTCCCCCGGTTACTTCCTCCACTTTCTGAAACAAGAAGTTGTCCCCAAGAACTTATTGGAAGTGTTGTGTTTTGCCATGTTACTTTTCCAACAAATGCCTGGGAAGGTCCCATTAGTAAAGTCTCCCATTACTAATAGGCTTTGTGTTTGATATTTGTGTTATTTGTTCTAGAAATCCCTCATCCACCTCCTTCTTCTAATTTGCTGGTCTACAGTAGATCCATACCATGAAGTCACCCCTCCTGACCCTCCTGCCTCTTCTATGTTTATTCAGAGACTTTCAACTGGTCTGCCTCTCACCTTCTTTTGGACCTCAGAACAAGTGTTCTGCCCTCCCCCCGACCCCGCCCTTCCTGAAGAGGCTATCACTCTCTACACCAATATTCCAGTAATGAGACTTATCCTACCAAGTCGGGGATACCAGTTGTTATAATTTAGTTTATGTGCCAACTTCCAGTTCTTCCCGTTTATTCCCCATACTCCTTGCATTTGTGTATACATATCTAAGATGTTAAGCAGATTCCCCACCCCCCCCAATTTCACTCATTGCCCTTATGACCCTATTGTAATTTTCCATGTCCCCTTCAACACCTAGCTCTGTAAGCATCAAGCTCATCCAGAAACTTTAAAATAAGTGGTTTTAAAAGATGTGTGAAGTATCACACTGAATTCTTATTGCAATGTCTCCTGTCCAAACAAGACTTTACCTAATGATTTCAGCATACTCTTTGTCTTTTCCTTTACTGTCCCTCCATTTCCTGAACATGACTGATGCATCCACATTGGCCGGAGAGAAGGTGTTGGGCTCATTAAGCAAGGAGATTACACTCAGTAGGATAGTCCTGGAAAATAAAAAAGCAACATTAGCAGTCAGGGCTAAGCATTCATGGACCTATGGTAGAAGTCTTGAAGGTGAATTAAGGCTGCCATTTTAGGAACACATTTAGAGTTGAGACTTAGAATAAAATTAGGTGCAAATTCACACCCCACAGCTGAAATGAAAGCAAAATTAACAGCATGACAGGATTTATGTGCTCAGACCACCACTAGCCAGGAGTTTGAGAGGTTTGGGGGGGAGGGGGAGGGAGAGAATGGGGTGGTAGAGAACAAACAGGAATTTGTTTCACTGGAGGGATTGTAGAATGAAAATGTGTGGGGGAAAGGTTTCAGAGAGAGACAGACAGACAGACAGACAGCCCGCCCGATCTCAGAACTGGAAGGGACCTTGAAAGGTCATCGAGTCCAGTCCCCTGCCTTCACAGCAGGACAAAGTACTGTCCCTATCCAGCAAATATTTAGGACTGCAAACTGTTCCTGTTAAGTACTAGGATGGACCCAAGACCTTTTGAGGTTTAAAAAAAAAAAAAAAAACCACCACCACCACCACCACCACGCCAGAGAGAGACTCCTCACACACATCCCACAGAACAGCCAATAGCCCAGTGGTTAGAGCACTCACCTAGGATATAGGAGACCCAAGTTCCAGTCCTGCCTGATTTGGAGCAGGAACTTGAACCTGGGGTCTCCCACATCCTAGGTGAGTGCCTTAACTATTGAGCTATTGGCTATAATGGCGGACATGTGGTCTCTGACCAGAAATTCCGAACAGGAGTCAGAGACCTTTCCCAATGAAAGTTTCATTGAACCTGATAAGTTCCCATGAGGTCTTGAGGAATCTGTATTTTCCAATAAAAAAGGTGATTTGTCAAAAAATTCTCTGACCAATTCCACGAATGATGCACTAGGAGATCTTCAAGCCAGGAAGATTTGAAAGGAGAAAGCGTTAAGGTGCCTGTGCAAACCGGTGCTGAATATAATCCCCCCCACACCTGAGGTAGTGCGGGCTTTCAGTACCAGTATGCTTTAGTCCCAGCTTTAGTGCTTAAGTGTTTATAAGTTAGTATCAGAAACCTGCACAGCCAGAGTCCCTGGCGTAAAGAGTTTGAGGAGAACAAACATATTTGCTTTTAAGAGTTTAACCACATACACCCCTATTTCACCCTAGCAATTGAATATTTATCATTTAAAGAATCCACACAAGATTCTTTCCTAAATAGCCAAATGCTCCAATCAGGATTAGTTCCCCATTGTGATGGGCATCCCCCACCCCTACACACACACAAACTGACAGAGCACTGCCTGTGCCCCGAGGCGGATATTCTAGAGAAGGCAGACATGACAGTGGCCGGTGGGAGCCCAACGTAAAGTAAAATGTTCAGGGCGGTGATGGGCACCTGGCCTGTCAGTTCCATTTACTTTTACTTGTTCGTTACAGGGAATGAAAGGCAGGCAGGGAGTGCAAGGCTGGCTGCAGAGACAGAGGCGGGATGTGTTTGGGGCAGACAGCCAACTGGTAGACAAAAAATAACGTCCATAGTTCCAGTTGTAAAAGGCAGTCTGCCGACATCCAGGGGCTGTGTAGGCTCAAGGAGCCAGGCTACTTGAGAAATCCCCGATGCTCCTGGGAGCTACCTCCTCCTGCCTCCCAGGAAACCCTGCCCTGTTTGTTCAGCCCCAGTAGTGGGGAAGGAGATGGCCGTTGCTATGGTCTGATGCCTCCAAAGAAGGATTCCTCATACTACAGTCTGGATTCCAGGCCTTGGCTTTTTCTTGGTGTTAGGGATGTCTTGGATCCCCAGCCCGGATTCCCCCAGCCCACGCAGTGCTATGGGTGATAGCTGCTAGGCAACCCAAGGAGAACACGCAAGGCAAGAATTCTACAGTATCCCGTTACACTGTCGAGAGTGATTCTTGGTGAGCTGTGAATCAGCACAAGGCCAGTGACGTAACTCCTAGCAGACAGCCTCCTTTATCTGCAGCAACAACAAGCCAAAAGAGAGCAAAGCTCACTTCAGTAGGATGGATGTGTTCATAATACCCATGAAGAGCAGTGACAGTTTATTTTAAGGAGACAAGGTTCTAAACAAGACAACAAGAACGGGAAGGCCAAAAGTTACATTTCATACAACAATCAACAAAGCTTAAGAGCCTGTGCTCTTGGGTGCATGCACATACCTCATGACAAAGGCACACGGCACAAAGTGCAAACTAAGCTAAGTAATTCTATACTCCCAGCCACGTGGCTGCAGTTACTGTTCTGTTTACTGCACTTGCCTGAAGTCTTACTAGAGACAAATGCATTAGGAGTGAAGTGGAAGGAAAGTATATATGAAATAGAAGGAGATACCAAAGACAAGAGCTGAGAAGACCGTGCCTAAACACTTGCTTCTACAGAACTCAGGCAATATTCCTCTTATCAGGCTAAGAAATAAGTCATACCTGCTAGTTATATTGCTCTAAAGAGTGAAACATTACCACGAGGGGTATAGATTACTGTCCAAAAGTGTGTTAAGTGTTATGCCTATAACTATATATTTGGGATACATGTTTCCTAGGTAAATGCTTGTTCACTTAGGTCTCAAGTAAGGTATTTTCAAGAAACATATACCAATGTTATTCAGTCAAACAGGTCACCATCAGTGCTCTGGGATGGCTTATTCTGAAAGTGTTACAATTTAGTAGGGATTCAAACTAGCAACAATATAAAGACCAGCTAGATACATAAACCTAAGCCATACCCACAAATAGTGCAGCACTGTCTCCTTCTAGTGGTAGGTAGGCCCCCAGAGGTTGATGAGCTTGCTACAGCCTAGGTTAAGAGACATGGATCTTTTAGCTCAGCCAGTAGAGATCCAGAGATCACAAGTTCAATCCCCACTACTGACAACCCACATGGGTGTCAGCATTCCATAGGAAGAGAGGGGTAGATGGAAGTCATTCCTTTTCACATCTTACTTTAAAATAAACCCTGTATATGATGTGTATATAGGCAGATGGCATTGTAGCTGTGCATCAACACATTGGATCTTTGTGATATATGGAACACTACAGGAATTTCCTATTTCAACAGGAAACATGGTAACAGACTGGTTACCTGTAGGTAGTCCAACAACTATCTGTTTTCTAATTAGAAATATCAAGGAGATCACATGGAGATGTCATGGTCATTTATTCCAGGCCAGAAGGGACCATTGTGATCATCTAGTCTGACTTATACAACACATGCCACAGAACTTGCCCAAAATAATTCAGAGCAGATCTTTTACAAACACATCCAATCTTGATTTAAAAATAGTCAGTGATGGGGGAAAAAAAATCAACCCTGAGTCCTGGTAAATTGTTCCAATGGTTAATTACTGGTATCCCTTATTTTCAGTCTTAATTTGTCTAATTTCAATTTCCAGACATTGGATCATGCTATACCTTTCTGTGCTAGACTGAAGAGCCCACTATTAAATATTTGTTCCTCCTGTAGGTAACTTCTCGACTGTCATCGAGGCACTCCTTAGCCTTCTCTGAATGCAAGGTAAAAGAAAATAGCCTTGCGCTGACAGTGAAAGGTTGTCAGTTTCTGGAAGAGTTCATTCCAGTCTCTGACCACTACTGGAGAAAGTTCTGTCTCCTGCACCGACAAGCTTTACTCTTATTGTCCAAAGGAATGCCTTGGTCAAAAAGTCTTCTTGTTCAAATCACTGTACAGATGGGTAATCCATCCTCAGCACCCCTAGGATATTAACAAATATCCCCATTTTTACAGAGTGATGTGATTTGCCCACTCTTCTGTTTGCACTAGGCCACACAAGAACCAGAAGCAGAGCCATAATTAGAACTCAGGATCTCTTGACTTCAAACTGTGTGCCCTTCTCCAGACACTCTGCCTTGATTGTGAGAAGAGTTGGGCCTAGCACTAGCGAGTCCCTGTTGCATAGGGGACACACCCTTTAGCACCATAGCTTTATTGACCAAATCCCCAGCAGAGACGCAGGTAGATGGACAGAAAAATGCTGCTATTGATCTAGCTGTCAACACTTGAGGAAGCGGTGTTCCTACAGCAATGGAAAAACCCCTTCCGTCACCGTAGGCTGAGTCTATGCTACAGGGTTACACTGACATAGCTACGTGGAGATAGTCCCTGTAGCGAAGACATGGTCTAGAATAGCGCCTAAAAGATTCCCAAGGAAGTAGGATATGGGGAAGTGGCTTGAGATATTCTACCCTCCCTAAACCAGGAAAGCTCATTTGACTTAAATGTGTACCTTAAGTACTGGCCCCAAGAGTCACCAATGAGAAATACTACCAACTATCTGGTTATTCTCATCTGCCTGGTGGTGTATGGTAAGAATGTCAACAAAATTAATGTTTCTAATGGGCTAAGTCTTCTCTACATTTTTCAAAAGGGACATGAACAGCAGCTAGTCTAGGAGTGGAAGAATTAAATCCCTCTTGAAGATACTCTAGATCCCACAGTGGAAGTACACTGCCAACTAATGGCTAGGCAGCGGGGATTACAGAGATACATAAGGAAGTCTCTTGACAATATTAACTGAGTTTCAAACCTGCTGCCTATTAAATTCATTGGATGACCCCTAGTCTGTGTGTTATGTGAAGGGGTAATTAACATTTCCCTATTCACTGTCTCCACACCATTCATGATTTTATACACTTATCACAGCGTCCCTTAGTTGTCTCTTTTCTAAAATGAGCAGTCCCAGGTCTTTAATCTCTCCCCATACAGAAGCTGTTCCATACCCATAATCATTTCTGCTGCTCTTCTCTGTACTTTTTCCAATTCTAATATATATCTTTTTTGAGATGGGATGGCCAGAACTGCATGCAGTATTCAAGATGTGAGCGTATCATGAATTATATAGTGGCATGATATTTTCAGTCTTACCTATCCTTTTCCCAATGGATCCCAACACTGTTAGCTTTTTTGATTGCTGCTGCACATTGATGAGATGTTTTCAGAGAACTATCCAGGATGACTCCAAGATTTTTCTTAGAGGTAACAGCTAATTTAGACCCCAACCTTTTGTATGTGTAGTTGGGATTATAAATCACTGGTTCATTAAAATGCCCAGTTTTCAGCCAAGACCATTCTACTTCAGCACCTTGCAGACTGTGGCTCGCTAGCCTATTCTACGGGCTTGTCTCCACTTACTGGGGGACTGACGCGCAGCCACCGATCACTCTCCCGTCGACTCCGGTACTCCACCGGAACGAGAAGCATAAGGTAAGTCGATGGGAGAGTTTTTCCCGTTGACACAGTGCGGTGTAGACAGCGCAATAAGTCATCCTAAGGTACGTAGCTGGAGTTGCGCAACTTAGGTCGACTTAGCCCTGTAGTGTAGACCTGCCCTAAGGGTCAGGAATCTTCCTTATCCCCTCTTTGCCAAAGCATTTGGTTAGACAACAGTTCTTTCTAATGATAAATTAACAAAACCCCAAATTAATCAGAGCTTAAAAATCATGGACTATGAGACAACCTTCTGAAAGCTAATAGTAAGTGGAGAAACTGGTTGAGGAATAGAGAGACCGAGCTCCATGCCCTAAGGATAACAACAGCTAAAGTGCCATCACTTGGCTCCTTAAGTTATCAAGACAAACTCTCCTGTATAGTGTCATTGTTTGACTCTTTCCAAGTATTAGACTTAAATAAATAGGCTGGGACCTCAATACACGTTATCAATAAAAAACAGAAAAAAATAAATCAAGGGATCGAGCAAGATCTGAAATTGCAGAATCACTGTTTAGTAATAAGTAACACTGTAAACACTGGATACTTCCACTTGCTGATACTTTTCTAAAGATATAATGAAGATTAGAGACCGTTCTTTTAAAAAAACTCATCTTTTGGTTGTGAATCAGACAAACTTAAACACAGCATAAAGCTTTACTCTAAGTTCTTAATATCCCAGCAAGAATTCTTTCCACTGAGTAGCTAGATAGCTATTACCACTGCATGGTTCACCACTGTACATAAAGCAAGTGTCATTAGAGGCATATTGTAGCATGGAGCACTATAAACTCAAGAGAGGATATACAGAGTTAGGATTTTCAAAGAGTAGGTCTACACTACAGAATTACTTTGGTATAACTATGTTGCTCAGGGATATGAAAAATCCACATTCCTGAGCAACGTAGTTATACCAAACTAAGCGCTATGTAGGCAGGAGAGCTCCTGTCAATACAGCTACCACCTCTCGCAGAGGTGGATTAATTACACCAATGGGAGAGTTCTCTCCTGTAGACATACAGCATCTTCATTAAAGTGCTACAGCTGTGCAGATACAACTCTTTAAATGTAGAGCTGCCCAAAGAAAGGAAAGTGTTGGTTAGCCTGGAGTGCTTTTGGCGACTCGTGACTCATTCAGCTTTGGGCACCAAGGGGAAATACCTGGAAACCATCTGCTTAGGACAACATTCAAAAGGACAAGATTGCCAAATAATAGAAGGCAAGGGAAGAAGTAGGAAGAGGCCCAAGGTACAAGCAGAGAGCATAAGCCACTGGTGTCAAAATCCTGGCCCACAGGCTGGATCCCCCCCCTGCTTGATTTAGTCTTGATTTTTTCTACTCCTTTTGGTTGCACGATCCCTCAGGACAAATCTCGAACATTAGTAAATGAGTATGCAGACAAATCCTGAAAGATGGGTCTTTTCTACTTCTGGTGTCTCAGTGGAGTACTTACTCAAAAGTAGAATGGTAGTTTAAATATGAAGGACAGTGTGGCTTTGGAAAGGCTAGTCTAAATCTGAGACAGCAAGTTTATTCTCTGAGCAATTTTTAACACGGATACATCACCACACAGAGTGGAAATCTCAACAAGGTAGCACAGTATCTGAACACACTGCACTCCAGTAACTAACTAGAAGATTCTGTTTCCAATTTAAGATACTTATTTCGGTCAGATTCAGACAAGACATTTTTAGAGATGGTTGCCAAGCCAGTTTTCCCGTTTCCATCAGAGGCCGGAAGACAGGCTATGGTCTGGATGGACATATGGACCACAAGAGAACTTTCATGAGGTCTACATTTGTGGAGTCAGTGGTTCCGTATTTTGTTACCTGACATTCTGGGTGGGGTTCCACCTTTCGGATGGCAGTTCTCCACTTTGTGGGTCATCTACAGGTGGGTGAAGAATTGAAATACATACGTCTCCATTCTGCAAGACAGAGGTTAAAGATTCAGTAAACATTAGCAGAATTATTGGACTAACAATTTGGGACACCATACTTGAGGACTGTTTGACCAAGTGCTTTCAGCCACTTGGGATAGGTTCCTTGGCAATTTTACCCAAGATCAAAATATTTATTAAACAGTAAAGTATGGCAAACCTGTGCAATTGTACAGGGCCAAGAATACCACCAAATTCTTCTTTAGCCATTTTACATATTTCAAATGGAGGCCTTTGTGCATAAAGACAATAATGTAAATTTGCCGTTTGTGTAAACCAGGTCAGCATTCGCGTCGCACTCCCCATCAGTACCCGACCCAAGCCGGGGAAGCTAACGATCCAACCAGAGGACCAAATTTGGTGATGAATCCTGGTCACGTGCCACCTTAGCATATGCGCAGTGTGCCTCAGAAGTAGACTAGTGAACAATAGGTTGGATGGATACGTTTTTTTTTTTTTAATTAAAGCAAAAGAGGAATCTAATTTAATGTAAAGGTTATATTTAGTTGCAAGTCAACATATTATAATGGCTACCAAACCAATGAGAATCAACCTCTCTTTAGGAAAATACAGTAGAACCTCAGAACACCATAGTTACGAACTAACCAGTCAACCACACACCTCATTAGGAATCGGAAGTATGCAATCAGGCAGCAGCAGAGAGCGAAAAAACCCACCAAATACAGTGCACTACTGTGTTAAATGTAAACTACTAGAAAAAGAAAAAAAGGAAGTTTAAAAAAGATTTGACAAGGTAAGGAAACTGTTTCTGTGCTTATTTCATTTAAATTAAGATGGTTAAAAGCACGATTTTTCTTCTGCGTAAAAGTTTCAAAGTTGTATTAAGTTAATGTTCAGTTGTAAACTTTTGAAAGAAAGAGTAGACATAACATTTTGTTCAGAGTTACAACCACTTTGGGAATGAAGGATGTTTGTAACTGAGGGTCTACTATAACTTAAAAAATAAAATAAATAAAAATACACAAATGCGAAACAAGATTAAGATTATTTAAATCAAAGTTTCCTGCTTACTGATTTAAATCACGGATTAAAAAAACATTCATTTTAAGTGATCTGATTTAAAAAACAATCCACCCTACTATGCAACACTGCAATTTCTATTCAAGATGTTTGCAGCAATTCAAAATGGTTAGTCTTTAAATACAGACAAAAGGTAACAAATACCAAAAGTCACATAAGTCCCCCCCAAAATCTACAGTTCATAAGGTGATTACTATAAAAACGGTCAGCTGCAGTCACAGGGGATTCCAGGCATGACAAGAAGTTATGTAGTTCCAAATGGCTACTGAAATATCCAGCTAAATCACTGAAACCCTATGAGAACACAGTGGCCTCCTCAAACTTACATTACTTTGCTTCCTTTTGAGAGGATAAAACGCGAGAGGACTACCGAGAATTTTAGAAAGTATAAAATGGCATTATTCTCTCGGTCAGAGAAAACTCCAGAGGGATTACAATAGGAAAAACTTTTTAAAGTGCAGGTTAAGATCTCAGAACATCACAACTAGAAGTTGAGCACATATACTGACCCTCTTCTAAAGTCACACCTGCAAAATAAGTCTGTAAACATAAGACCATTCACATTTGCTCCCTCATCCAGGCTTGGCTCACTTCCTGTCATCAGCAATTGAACAACACTCCCGTGCTAAGGTGCTCAGCTGAGTTTGGCATTCTGTCCTAACCCAGGGAATCATAGCAGTGCTCCTTACTGAGAGTGGAGCAAACTGACCAGATAGCATGATGCACTCTTAAATGGGCTCCGGCACCATGCAAGAACATCAGGGAGAGGAGAGAAACAGAAGAGATGCTCTCTGAAGGTTACACAGACTCCCTCCCAGCAGCTCAGAGGAAGAAAGAGGTACTTTCACAGCATATAATTAAAAGGACCGTGCGCCTGTAAGGGTGTAATCTATGGCCCAACTCCAAAATGATATAAATAGGAACTATGCATGGATATAAAAGCTTTATATTGCCCTGTGATTTGTGATCTCTTCTATGGGACAGACTGAACACTGATTCATTATGGACCACCACAGTCCTGTGGCATACCACAAAGATGAACTCAATACACTGTGGTGGCATTATTCAGTGGAAGCAAAGCCTATTAAATATTATTAGGTGGAACTTCAATTTTTTTGGCATTTCCTCAAAAAATGAGAAGAAAGTTTGTTAATTTCATTTCTGATTCTCAGGATTAACTCAAGGAAAAGCCCAGTTTTTTGCCACTTTCAGTAACATTCCCTGTTAGCATAACCACCCCCTTCTTTGGCATGAAACACGTTACAAATGGATTTAGGCAGATAAAAATAAAAGTGTTTTAAATTAAATTTGAAATTATGACAGCCTACGTTAAGACCTCGATTTACTAAATATTTTTAAACGTAAATGACTTTAAGCAGTACATGTTTGTTACCAAGTCTTAAAGACAGTGAGACAACTGAACTGGTGGAAGTCACTGGCTAAGCACCTGAAACCAGAAACTGTAAGTGTTAAACAAGTGTGACAGCAGTAGCCTCTTCTGCAGCTGCTGAAAGAATACTTGCTTCATTTCAGTTTATTCAATTGGTTTAGGTTCAGTTACTAGTTCATTCAAAACAGTTAAGAAAAACTAGGAGTTGAAAAAAAACAGGAAAACTTGTTTTCCTCTTCCAAACTATCAATAAAAACTAGGTATGAGATCTACTAATTCTAAGATCTTGAAGGACATGGTAACCAGAAACAATCAGCCAGCTCAACTCATTAACTACAGCTAGTACTTCCCTTGCTTAATAAAAATCAGTTTTAAAGCAAAGCGTGTTTTGATAAACTTTCTGAAAATGTTTGTGTATACAGCACATCTAAGGTACTTTTAGTAAAAACAAGTTTTAAATTTTAAAATGCTGTTTTTGTGCATTTTTAGTTTCCAAATACAGCTTGACAAATCAAATTAAAAAAATTAATCATTTAGTAAAAAACACATTCACGATTTTCTATTATAAAAATTAAGAATCTGAATAAGTTAAGCTATATAATTGCTTAAATAAATCAATATTGTATATCCTCCCAGCTAGCAAAAAGCAGCACCAAATTTAGTGTAAAGGCTATCTTTAGTTGCATATCAACATCTTTTAATGGTTACCAACCAATGAAAGTCCGCCTCTCTTTAGGAAAGAGAAAATATACAAATACAAACCAAGATTAAAACAGATAATTTAAATAAGTTTCCTGCTTGCTTATTTAAATCAGTCACTTAAATCACTTGAATCGCTTTAGAAATCAATCCACCCTGCACAGACAAATGCATTCCTGGAACTGAACTTTAACAACTTGGATTCTCATGGGTTCTAATCAGGTTGGCAGAGCACTCTTAGGTCAGGGACCTTGGCTGTGGAACTCCCATTCAGAAATGTTTGCCAGTATGCCTTGGTGGCAGTCTTCAAGTCATTGATCTTTTCAGCCTCACTGGGGGCTTCTTAGCATCTAGAGGCTCAGCTGCTCACCTAAACCGGTAGAATTTGCTTGTTTTGTTAGATATTTTCTGCTTTTGGGCAGGGAAGTAATGCCTTGTGGCTGTTTTAGTCACTTTAGAGCTACTAGACAAAGCCAACAGTGCTGAAGTACAGGAGGGAATACCATGTATGAGAAGTTAGTTCCTCAGAAGATTTTATTTTGTATAATGGAAGGTGTCACCTGGCTTGGACAGTCCCTCCCTATTACAGCAACATTTTCCAAGTAAATGTAAGCTTCTAGATGTTGTATTAATCCTATGGCCCACAAGGGTTTAATTAGGGTTTTCTATAGTTTATGTAGTTTCAGCTCTGAAGTCTTGTGTCAGAGTGCAGTGCTGCTGTAGTTCAACAAAGGGAGTCTGAACTCAGCAAAAAGCCTCCAGAGTGATGGAGTGAGCTGGTCTAACCAACATGTAGTGCTCAGACTAGCAACTATTTTGTGGAACAGAAGTGAGGGAAAGGAGGAGTTCTTTTTTCCAGTACTCAAAAGTGGTGGGAAGTTTAACACATCACATACATTCAGCTTCACGCTTCAGACAGATGAGAGGGAGTTCAGAGAAGAACAAAAGTGAATAGGGGCCCGTATGGATTAAGAGATTTGAAAAACCATTTAAAATAGGTAAGGGGACATGAGAACAGGATAAATATTTGAGGGTGCAAAGGACCAGAGGATTGCATAATGGGGCATAACTAAAAGTAACTGGATGTAATACAAGGGAAAAATTAGATTGAATATTAGAAAAAACATCCTGAGTTAGTTGTATTAAACTTAGACTTATTTAAACGTATTTCTCGTGGCAAATTGAAGCCACATTGTTTGGGGCATCAGAAATTGGGCTGAAACATAGGCCATCTAGTCCATAATCTTGACAATGCTAACAGAAGCGCTATATGGAAAATATCTATTATTCCTACCAGGGTATAACTGAATTAAGGTTTACTTTTATGCCTTCTCTCACTACTGTAATCAGAACTCTGTCTCTGACACCTCCCAATGTGCATTCATCAGTAAAACTGAATATTTGGTTCCTTTTGTCTGCAGTACCTTGATTCAGTCCACTCTTGGCAGCAGCATGCTATCACATGCAACTGTAGGTGTCCCAGTTCCTCCTCCTGATAGTCTTGCAGTACACACAACAGCCAGCAAATTGAAATACTACTTCAGGTTCTTTTGATTTCAGGAAGCTTCACAGTCCTTAGTTTCATATAGTTTCTACTTTCACAGCTTGCATATCTTTGCTCAAAAAGTGACCTCCAAAAACAAGAACAGAGTTTTAAGCTAGTTTTTTCCTTTAGTTATAGGAATGCCATCTTTTCCCCACTCATAACTACTGGGGAAAGGTCCTTCTACTTCAACCCAAGAAGGGTTAAAAAACTTTGGTTCACTTTGGGAATTCAGATAACTGAACTGGCACATCCTCACACGCCCTCACTTCCTGCATGAGGATTTGGGGATTGTGAATCCACAGCTAAACCCACTCCCTATTCAGTATGGATTAGTTTTTATTAGGGCTGTCGATTAATTGCAGTTAACTCATGCGATTAACTAAAAAAACCTGATTAATTGCAGTTTTAATTGCACTGCTAAACAATAGAATACCAATTGAAATTTATTAAATATTTTGGATGTTTTTCTACGTTTTCAAATATATTGATTTCAATTACACCACAGAATACAAAAACAATGAGGAGTCCTTGTGGCACCTTAGAGACTAACAAATTTATTTGGGCATAAGCTTTCGTGGGCCAGAGCCCACTTCATCAGATGCATGAAGTGAAAAATACAGGAGCAGGTATAAATACATGAAAGGATGGGGGTTGCTTTACCAAGTGTGAGGTCAGTCTAACAAGATAAATCAATTAACAGCAGGATACCAAGGGAGGAAAAATAACTTTTTAAGTGGTAAGAGAATGGCCCATTACAGACAGTTGACAAGAAGGTGTGAGTAACAGTAGGGAGAAATTAGTAATGGGGAAATTAAGTTTAGGCTTTGTAATGACCCAACCACTCCCAGTCTTTATTCAGGCCTAATCTGACGGCTACCACTCTGAAACTGTCAACAGAATACAAAGTAGACAGTGCTCATGTATTATTTTTTATTACAAATATTTGCACTGTAAAAATGATAAACAAAAAGAATAGTATTTTTCAATTCACCTCATACAAGTACTGAAGTGCGATCTCTATCGTGAATGTGCAACTTACAAATGTAGATTTTTTTGTTACATAACTGCACTTAAATAAAATATAAAACTTGAGAACCTACAAGTCCACTGAGTCCTACTTCTCGTTCAGCCAATCACTAAGACAAACAAGTTTGTTTACATTTACGGGAGATAATGCTGCCCACTTCTTATTTACAATGTCACTGGAAAGTGAGAACAGGCTTTTGGCATGGCAGGCTTTTGTAGTTGGCATTGCAAGGTATTTACGTGCCAGATATGCTAAACTTTCGTATGCCTCTTCATACTTCGGCCACCATTCCAGAGGACATGCTTCCATGCTGATCACCCTCATAAAAAAAATAATGTGTTAATTAAATTTGTGACTGAACTCCTTGGGGAAGAATTGTATGTCTCCTGCTCCGTTTTGCCCTCATTCTGCCATATATTTCATGTTACAGCAGTCTTGGATGATAACACTTTCACTGCAGATTTGACAAAACAAAGGAAGGTACCAATATGTGATTTCTGAAGATAGCTACAGCACTTGATCCAAGGTTTAAGAATCTGAAGTGCCTTCCAAAATCTGAGAGGGAAGAGGTGTGGAGCATGCTTTCAGACGTCTTAAAAGAGCAACCCGAACCACCAAAAAAGAAAATCAACCTTCTGCTTGTGGCATCTGACTCAGATGGTCCACACTGCTTTGGATAGTTATCAAGCAGAACCCATTATCAGCATGGACGCATGTCCTCTGGAATGGTGGTTGAAGTATGAAGAGGCATACGAAAGTTTAGCATATCTGGCACGTAAATACCTTGCAATGCCAACTACAAAAGCCTGCCATGCCAAAAGCCTGTTCTCACTTTCGGGTGAGACTGTAAACAAAAAGCAGGCAGCATTATCTCCTGCAAATGTAAACAAACTTGTTCAGCCAATCGTTCAGACAAACAAGGAGGAGGACTGAGTGGACTTATAGGCTCTAAAGTTTTACATGGTTTTTATTTTTGAACGCAAATTTTTTTTTTAAACATAATTCTACTTTTGTAAGTTCAACGGTCATGATAAAGAGATGCACTACAGTACCTGTATTAGGTTTGAAAAATACAATTTCTTTTGTTTTTTTACAGTGCAAATATTTGTAATCACAAATATAAAGTGACTACCGTACATTTTGTATTCTGTGTTGTAACTGAAATCAATATATTTGAAGATGTAGAAAACATCCAAATATATTTAAATAAATGGTATTCTATTATTAACAGTGCAATGACAATATGGAGATCTACCTATCTCATAGAACTGGAAAGGACCTTGAAAGGTCATCGAGTCCAGCCCCCTGCCTTCACTAGCAGGACCAAATACCCCAAGTGGTCCCCTCAAGGACTGAACTCACAACCCTGGGTTTAGCAGGCCAATACTCAAACCACTGAGCTATCCCTCCCCCCCAATTAATCACAATTCTATGTAACTGCTTGACAACCCTAGTTTTTAATTGGTCTTATGGGTCACAAAATCTAATGCAGAGCCCTGAGAAAGAAAACCATCTTCATGGCCAGATGTTTAATCTCCTGTTTCAAGTTTTTAAATAAGAGGAGGCAGCAAAAGTTGGAAGATTTTCCAAATGCCACTACAAGGATACCAATCACCATGTACTATCTGAACCCAGGACAGTCCTTTGCATAAGAAAGCAGCCCCCCTCCTCAGCATCAAGAAATTAATATGGAATATGATCTTATTTGCCAGTACAGATTTGGAAAAGCCACCAGTCAAACAGTTAAGACTAAGCCATCATCTCAATAACTAACCTCCAGTAGAGAGAGATTACTGAGAAAACAACATTTAAGACCATTTGTTCAGGACTGGGCATTCAGGAGCAGCACAGTGTACTTCAATGTTGGAGTAAGGGCATCCAAGTCCAAGACTTGGGCTGGAGTCCTCATTCCTCAAGAGATCCAAGAAGCGTGCTCAGACCCTGGGAAGGAATGTCTTCCTCATTTTCTATTGAGCCCATTAAGCAGAAGCATCTATGAATATTATTCACCATAGGAAAGACTGTATTAAGGCCATTGTTGAAAGAAGGGAGGGTTTGCAAGGTAGACAATTTTTGAAGGGGGGGAGTGGGCAGTATCCTTGGAGTGCATTTATTTCTCCTGAGAGAGGACTGGCAAGACTAAAGATTAAGAACAGAAATTTTGTTAAGATAGTCAAAGGTGGAAGGTTCCCCAAGGATTTGTCTGGACTCCTCCACTAAAGGCCAATCTAAAATTTCAGAATAGGCTCAACTTCCAAACAAGACTTCTGAAGTTAGGTACTTCTGTGAATTGTGACATGCACACACTGTCAAACACAGAAGGTCTCCAGTGGCAAAGGCTTTACAGACTAAAACGTGCTAAGGAAAAGTACAGGTCATAAAAAGAAGGAAGATAAATAGTTTCCATAAGAATCCAGAAATCCACACTAGGTGTCACATTTGTTCGCACTGACAAAGTGCTGGATCTGCCTAGAGCTACTTCTTGGATAGGTCCCATGATGCCTGATGCAGACTGCTAAATTCCTTAACCCAAGACCAATAGTTAATTAAGACTGATATGGTACCTGAAAGATCAGGAAGTGTGACATAGTGAAACTAGAGAGGACCTTTTTACTAACTGCTGAAGAGGCTAGACCAACCACTATAATTATATCATGAAATGATCTACAATAGTTAGTGATGAAGAGTAAGGATTTTTTGGGGCACAGGGGAGAACATAACTGGAGGGAAGAGCATTCACATTTAGTTGAACGTGAGGCAAGCTTTCCCCGTACATTTGAAAAAATCTCAACTCTAGCTTGCTTACACAGTATACAACCCCAAGTCCCCATAGTTGCCTATTTACTGCTTTAATACCAAAGGAAAAACAGCTTCAAAATAAACTATTTAGATTAAAATTAAAAGTTCACTGTCCATCAAATTACTGACTAAGCCATATCAGATAAAAAGTTGATTGGAGAAATTGTTGGTCATTAGTAAGATCCCAAACGAATCTGGATGGAAAAAACTGGTAACTGCCAACATTCCAAATAACAGCAGAGCTTCACAACTGTGGTAAATCTGAGGCAGTTACAACTGGGGTTATCTGTAAGGGCTGAACACCACTCTCTGAATTAGAGTGCTTACCAGAAAGCAATCTAGGTTTAGCTTTTTACATACGAAGCCTAAGTTATAACAGCTAGAATGTGGCCTAATTGTGACTAAAGACAAGCAAATGTTGAATGCATTACTTAAGTCTCAAAACTAAAACTATGTCTAGTACACCTGAAGAGAAAAAGCACCACTAAAAAGTATCTTACCTCATAAATGTTGGGGTGCCACATTTTGGTCAGGAATCTGAAGGTAGGCGGTGAATATGGATAGTCGATAGGAAATTTAATGTGAGCCTGCAACAAATAAAATTAATCTCAGTTTTCATGTAAGAATGCATGGAGGCCAGCAAATTAATCCATGTTAGTCTTTCACACTGGAAGGTTTGGGGACCAAAGTGATTTCAGTTTTAAAGGAAACGAAGTTGATCATTTTGCGTGCTTCAATGGACATTAGGCACCTGACAAATCTACACCGTTTTTAGCTTCATTATTGGGTCTTGTGAGCAGACTGATACTTGAACAGGAGAATCAGAAGATCAGGACTGAGGTTCATTGGACTGGCAATCCTTGTAAATAGAGAGGGAAAGACAAGCAAGCAACTGCCTCAACTTCATGTAGCTCTAACTCGAGTCAAAGTCCCGAGAGGTCTTAATTAACTGGTTAAAAAAAAATAAATCACTGACAATTAAAAATCACTTAAGAATTCAGTGGCCAATATTATCAGTTTCCTTTTTTAAAATCTCAAAATAGGTTACGCCTTTTGGCCCCAGTAAGAGGAATTTTCTAATATTCCAAGCACGTTAGTGGGGCTAACTGGATCACAGCACAAAGAGGTAACTAAAGAACATTTACATCAATACCTGTACACTGCACAAACCAATGTGTTTGAATAGGCACAAGGAATATTTGTTGGCAGTTTTGAAGGACTTGGTTAGTGAAGGAAGTAGAAATTCTACTTCAGGCAGACTAACCTGTCTACCAAGCTGGGTATTTATACTACACTTGTTGCCATGGCATCTGAGCACTTCACAAATTCAGGTATTAGGAGGCTTACATTTTACAGAGCTGTGTAATCCTGCCACATAAACCAGAACCTCGATAAGAGAATTTTATTGTACCAATGATGGGTTAAGCATGCCCATAGCCTTAGATGGGCATCTTTTTAATAAAGAAAAGTAACAAATAGACCTTTAGATGTCATCCAGATAGATTCTAGTTACAGTTAAAACTAGAGGTGGGTACAAACCAGCATCTTAAAACTCACTCTTAAGCTTTGGTAAGGAGGCAAGGTGCGTTTAAATAAAAATCCAGCCTGTTTTTCAATTTAGGTTCCGCTAGTTTAAAGGAAAACCAGCACTCTCAGGAGCTTGAATTTTTTTAAGCACTTTCACAGAGTGTCCACATACAGGTAGACAGCTCGTGTTATGGATGTACAGTACTGTCAAATCCTAAGCAGAGGTGGTTTACTGGAGTATACACTTTTAGAAAAATGCTAACTGGATGTTCACAATAATGCAACCGTGATCATCCAGTCAGCCTTCTAAGCCCATTCAACCCCCAGTTCTGATATTTTATTAGAAGAGAGAAAAGTAGTGCTCAAGAGCCCAAATTAAATCCAGAAATAAAAAACCCAGGGTTGAGCTAGATAGAAAGTTTGCTTGCATAACTTTGCATCTCTTGTCTGATAACATCCTAACATGCTGCTAGGCATGTCCAAGCCAACTTCAGCCTAAACTTTCTTTGGATTTTTGTGCCTTCAACTTGGAACCTTATTTGTATTTAAATGCAGAGGATTTAAAATTTGAAAACCAGTTTAGACAGGTCTATTTAACTTTGACAGGCATTTCCCCCTGCTATGTTGTATTGTATTCCATCCAGAAATCACACAGATCCAAAGACAGTGCCTTTATATAAACTATTAAGCACTTTCTGGGTTGCATGCACAACTGTAGGGTAAACCAGGAGGCTATTTGACCACTGAACTGCTTGTTAAGACACAAACACTGCAGAATTGAACAAACTGAATGCACTGAGTGTACAAAACCAATCAATATACACTGTAGAGCAGTGTTTTTCAAAGTACTGGGTCGCCTTGCTGATTCAAATGATAAAGTTCGTTGCCACGCAGCAGGGACCTGGAGAGGAGAGAGGCAGGGGGTGAGCAGAAACTGGGGAGGGGAGCAAGTTGGAGCTTGCAGGGCTGCTGCGGGCTTCTCCCCTGGCCCCAGAGCTCCGTGCTGCCTGCCAGCAGAGGGGGAGGGGCGGGGGGGAAGAGAGAGAGACAGAGACAGACACACACCCCTCCCCTGGAGCTAGCTGCTGCCAGTGGGGAGAGGGCTTGGGAGGAGTCCTCTGGCCCCAGCCTTGGGCAGCCTGCCTGCACCCCAAACTCCTCATCCCTGGCCCCACCCCAGAGCCCGCACCCCCAGCCAGAGCCCTCACCCCCCTGCATCCCAACCCTCTGCCCCAATCCTAAGCCCCCTCAACCCCAGCTCCATCCTAGAGCCCTCACCCCTGCACCCCACCCTGGGCCACCTCCCACGCTCCTTACCATAGGCTTACTAAGACTAGTGTTAGTTATGTGAAGTGGGTTAAGCTGGAATGTATTGCAATATTAGGATTTTATGAAAACTAGTCAAGAGATATAATTATATTGGGTCACAGGCATCAACAATTTTCTTCAACTGGGTCATGAGGAGGGAAAAAAAAGTTTGAAAACCACTGCTGTAGAGAGCCACACAACACTGTTGAGGTAGCAGATAAAAAGTATACATTAGGGAACCACTTTGAAATCTATCAATTGCCTGCACATCAAATTTACATGGTAACCAGTCATGTCTTTACAAAAGATCAGAAGACTACAGAATTTGGAAACAAAGCAATTATTTCCTGCTCGGTTTTGTTTAGCTAAATTGAAGTACTCAGCACAGAGATGCTCTAGTGTAGCAACCCAGATATAGAAATTGGCTTTTCCAGTGAATAGCTCTTTAGCACTAGAGGTCAGAATTTCACTGTGCCAGCTGTTGAAGCTGTAGTCAGAAGGATTACGTGCACTGGGGAAACCCAAATGATCTAAAAAACCGAAGTGGGGAATTTTACAATGATCACTTTCACCGCTCCTTCTCCTGATCATTGGCTTGAAAAGTGAAACTGAACTCATATCCAGGGCATTCATTAGAGTTTTCACAAACAGGTTTCCAGGTATTACTCAGCATTTTACTTTCCTAATAGAAATGATCAATTTAAAGCGCTTTCCACCAGTAGACCATTAATATATTTCATTTGAATGGGTGAAGGAAACCAGGAGTTTCAGGGGCAAGCTGCCACATAGCTGGTGAAGACTCACTAATCGCCATAGCTAGGAATCCAGCATCATCACAAACTGCCATTTAAAATATTTCCTGGATTAAATAAGTCAGAAGACCAAGGATCATATATTAAGCTCATTTTTGAGTGACAGTGTGTTACTTGTGGCAAATAAGTTTATACAACCCCACTGACCTGTGAAGAATGGAGGATATCTGGATACTTTTTACGTGACATACCCTGAACTGGGTTAAGATAGGTTCTACTGTGTATATATTGTCAGAGTAGCACAGATTTGAGGCAGCATGCCTTTGGTTAAATTCCAAGTGGAATTTATTTTTAGAGGGTGAGTACCCAGAAAGCCCCAAGACAAATCAGGAAAAAACATCACGTTTGATACCCAACATCCCCCTCCCCCCCCCCGGCATCCCCCAGCAAGCTGTTGAGCCATTTTAAGTTTACCTTAAACCAACTATAGAAAGGGACCAGAGCAAATCCTAGATTTCAGAGATTTGAACACTTGACTTTCCTCACTATAGTTCTTGGAAACACTTGAAAATGTAGCAGGATGAAAAGTAGAAGTCAGGATTAGATCTGTGTTTTGCCAGTTCCGAGGCACGTTAGTTAAGAGGTACTAAGGGGTAAATTAAACATCACTATGATATTATGCTTGATAAAATGGGTTAGCTGCAGATTCCATCCTATGTAATTATTTGACATACACAGTCTCTTCAACTAGATTGCTGACACACTACACTATGCAATTTAAATACATTTGTAGAAAAAGCATGGCTATTTTAGTGGATTGCTTCCTGTTTATTGCCCTACATGTTCCAGATGCTGTCGGTGTTCCATATTTGGAATACATTATTTGGCTTTGCCTGCATTTTCCTGCTACTCTACACCTTCATATTTAAAATGGATCAAAAAGCACATGCACATAGGGAAGCCATTCAAGGGAAACCTCAAAGCAGTTGTCAGCTAAGTTAGCCATTTAGAGATCATATTACAGTAAAAGCGGTTTTATCCAGCATGTTGGGGAAATGGAAGGTGCCGGTAAATGAAAAATGCCAGTAAAAAGAGGTAGGGAGTTTGGGTGCAGGACTGGGGTGCAGGAGGAGGTGTGGGTCACGGGCTCTGGGAGGGAGTTTGGGTATGGGAGGCGGCTTGGGGCATAGGTGACGGATCCGGGGGTAGCTCAACTCTGGCGGCTCCCCACAAGTAGCGACCTGTCCCAGCTGCTCCTAGGTGGAGGCGTGGCAGGCAGCTCTGCCCCACCCTGAGAACTGCCTCTGCAGCTCCCATTGGCTGGAAACAGCAACCAATGGGAGCTGCGTGGGCGGCAGCTGAGGGTGGAGGCAGCGCACAGAGCTGCCTGCCGCGCCTCCACCTAGGAGCAGCTGGGACAGTTCGCTGCTTGCAGGGAACTGCCCAAGGTGAGCAGTCCCCTGGATCAGGCACCCCCATGCATGCAAACTCCCTCCCAGAGCCCACATTCCACAACCCCTCCCGGCCCCGCACCAACCAGATTATAAACTGGACTGTTGAAGATCAGAAATGACGGTTTATAGAGTTTTCCAGTTGAAGTGCTGGATAAAACAGCTTTTACTGTACATTTGTTTTTAAAATAGTGTTTACTAAACTAAAAAATTCCAGTCAGTTCAGAGAGCCAATCAATATGGGCAGAGTGTGGTCGTTACCGTTGCTTTTCATTTCTAGAATTGTTAAGTACTTACTCCATCCGAAATATTTACCTACCATTCTCCCCTCGATGAACAGTATTAATATGAACACGTTACTCTATCACAACAGTTAAAATGTGTTGGGGAAAAGCGCACGTTTTATGCAAACAACAAGTACTCAGAAGACTACTGAGCTGATTTTCAGATGAGCAGAGGACCAGCAATTTCCACAGCAGTCAATTGGAGCTGCAAGTGCTCAGCACCTCTGAAAAGACCATTTAAAAAAAAAAAAGTTACATTTCCTATAATAAAATGTCACGTCTTGC